AGGAGTGGCGTTTTACCGTGGTGCTGATTGCTGTTGCTTGGTCTATGATATCACCAATCCGAAGAGTTTCGAGAGCTTGGATTCCTGGCGGGATGAATTCCTCATACAAGTAAAGTTATCTGAACTCATTCTCTGCAATAAAGCTGACCATAATAGGCGTCACCGAAGGACCCCGAGGAATTCCCATTTGTGGTAGTCGGGAATAAATTGGATATGGAGGCAAAGCGCAAGGTATTAGGGGGAGTTGATCTCAGCGTCCTCTGCTGAGTGGCGACTCACTATTATGGATAGGTGTCGAAGGCAAGGGCTACCACTTGGTGCAGATCTAAGAATAATATTCCATGTTTTGAGACTAGCGCTAAGGATTCCCTCAATGTTGAGCAGGTGCTGCGGGAATCGACTTGGTATTGTCCATCATAGTTTTTACTCAGGCTTTCATCGAAATTGCACGACGGGCACTGCAGAACGAGGCGGCAATGGCTAAGGAGCAGGAGCAGATGTGAGATACCATCTCACGTTTTGCCCTTGTTGCTATTCAGATGGATCAGAGATATCCCGTCATCAGGTATTTGTCCCAAACACTGAACTTGAATAACCCTCCTGCGGAGAGCCAGAGCTCCAATGTACAGCAGTGCGAGTGCTAGAAGCGTATCACTGTCTATCGTCGTCATCAACTCCTTGTTGGTGTCGTTTCTCGTTGATAGTACTAGATGTTCTATGCTACTGTTAATACTACTGCGGCCTATAGAGTGTCTAGCTGATTGATCCTATTCCTACTGTGAAGATGGCTCTGACAATGTTGCATATATACTACCTAATAGTTCTGTCTCGGTAACTAATGACTTGAATTAACCGCGAGTCGTAATTTACGGGTTTACGGTGGTTACAAAGGTGATGCGGAGAAGAGCACTGAGTCTGATGTTTCTCAGAAGGCAAACGCGTGGAATGCCATAATCGGCGTAACTTGGGAACTCATGGATATACACGTATTGCCACATAAAGTCACCAGGTTAATCATGTAGGAGACATAGTGAAATTGGGGGCATGACGGTTTCCGTATCGCTCGGGAAATTCAATCGGGCTCGATCCTGAAGAGCAACGGTAGCTCATCTTACTCGAGATCAGAAAGTTGCCCGTTCGAATCGGGCCGTGGTTATATACTTGATTTTGTAACAGATGTATGACCGATTGGGTATAGTGATTGCCGTGCGTTGCCTAGCAGTCCAAAATACCATACTCAATTTTGCTCTGTGGCGTACCGGTAACGCATCTAACTTCAGATCAGAAGGTTGTCCGTTCGAATCGGGCCGGGGTCATATATTTGAATTTGTGATCGACAGATATACGACAGAGCGGGTGCAGCAGTTGCGCTGCATTGCCTAGAAATCGAATATAGGATCTTAAGACGCGATACTCAGCTAAGCTTCGTGGTTCTCCTATGTAGAAAGATCTGCGTGCAACAACGCTCGGATCACACGCTTCTAAAAAGCATGTGATCAAAGAGACCTTCAATAATCACTAAACACTTCATCGAACAGTTCGATTCGAACTCCTCATCGCTCAGTGAGCGACGGTCATCGAAGTTGCTGAAAGGCGGTACTCCTCGATGGACCGAAGCTGAGTCCGGCACAGAGCAGTAATCAACTACTAGCAATACATCACAGCTACCACTGCACCGCCGACGGTCTCTAGAGCTTTTGCAACCTCTTGGTTGACCACGCCTAAATCATTAGTGGACATATCCAGTAGTAACAGATGTGGGCGGGACATTACTGCAACGGCTGGATCGAGAGGAGCCCGCTGATAGGCA